TCTGATTTATATTTATCGATATATTTAACCAGTGATTTAGTGTACGTTTTATTAGCTGATAATAATCGTATAATTTAATGTAATGTTTGGAATTAGTTATCATTAAATTATGTGTATTTTATTAAACCGATAATTAATTTGCAAAAAATCAAGGTTTATATTAATAAACGATATAAATTTAAAGTAATTTATTAATGTGTATTGAAATAAAGTGTACTCTAAATTCATGTACCCCTAGATGTTACACACATTTGGCAATCAATTGGTATTAAACTGTGTTTAACTGTATATCTAATCACTCCACTAAAAAGTGGAGGAATATATTATGCAGTGTTGTAATTGACATATCATTAACATTAAGTCTAATTTAAATAAATATCGGAAATTAGCATTTCATTCAATAATATCTCTATAGACTTTAACTGTTGCTTCAAAGGGTTTATAAAGTGTAAAACACTTTCAACACATTTCTCGCTAAACTCAACACACGTTTGCCTTTTAGGCCTAAACTCAAGTCTAAAAAATCTTTTATATTTCAAATTAATTCTGAAACAAAATCACTGAAAAACAAAACAAAACAAAACTCTCAGCCCCGGGAGGGGTCGGACACATACCTTGAAAAGCGGGCACAAAGTACACACCACCGCAACTCTCCTCCATCTGAGCGATACTTTCGACGTCTCCGTAATGTTTAATCACTTCGAGATTATCCCTGAGCCAAGTGATGGCGGCCCCGGCTATGGCCGCACTGCCCTCCAGGGCGTAACAGGCGGGCTGTGCACCCAATTTGTACGCTATTGTTATCAGTAGATTATGTTTGGCCTCTTTGGGTACGCCCTCCAGCGCCCCGTGAATGGGTCCGCTGCCTATGTTTTGTATGATATGACAGCCGGTGCCGCACGTGACCTTTGTTTGGCCCAAACCGAAACACTTCTGACCCACCAGTGCTGCCGATTGATCCGATATAACGCCTATAATTAGCATAAATTACACCGTGTTTTATAAAAAGTCGTCAATTAGAAAGAGAGAGAGAGAGAGAGAGAGAGAGAGAGAGAATGTTATGGGTATATGGGAGAGCACCTACCAGTGACCGGCACTCCCTTTAGTTCGCTGACCAGCAAATCGCCGAAATAGTCGGACGAAGACTTAATTTCGGGCAATATATTTGCGGGCAAACGGAAAAAGTCCAACAAATAGGGGTCCCATTGACAGGACTCGACGTCCATAAGCATCGTTCGGCTGGCATTAGTCACGTCTGTCGAGTGCTGTCCCGTCAACTTCCACAACAGCCACGTGTCGATTGTGCCAAACAGTAGCCGCTGGTCGTCGATAGCCTCGCGTATTGGCGGCACGTTATCGATAAGCCACCGGAGTTTGGGCGCCGAGAAGTATGTGCTTATAGGCAGACCTGTCTTCTTCTTGAGCCAATTGATGTCACGGCCCGGGATGTCGTCGATTATCTTCTCGACCAAATCGCTGGTCCGGTTGTCCAGCCATACGATGCAGTTGTAAAAGGGCTGTCCTATAGGGGGTGGAGAAGAGGGGCAGACAAAGCTTTAATTACCAGTTATATAATAGTATCGCAACTGTTTGGGTTTTATCGCCAGAGTTAGCGCCGATAATGTATTGATAATAATTTTTAACCAGTTTTATCATATTCCGCGAAATAAGTGCTAAAACTTTCATGAAGGCTAACGATTGTAAGTATTGCGAAAACTTAACTACGGTATATGTTTATATTAATTATAGTAGTAAATATGTTTGTGACAGTTTTGTCAACCTATATCTGACAGCCCTTTCGCACGCCATATACTATATGTCATATGAGCGACATTTTAATAATCAATAGCTGTCATTGATTAGCGCCATTCAATTAATGTATGATTTGAATAATTATTTGAATATTAAATATTTTGAGATAATTACTTCGGGGAAAAAGCATTAATGTGATATTGAACTAAAAATTTGAGTTTGGAAAATGATTTTTAAAATTCGAGAAAATTACTAAAATTAACTAGTTACAATTACAATTAAACACAATTAAACAATTACAAACTAATTAAATGGTTATATTAGTTAATTTTAATCGTCAAAGCTAATAGAGCCAATAATAAAAATATAGATTAAAAATAATTACCAGTGATTTTATCCCAAACAACAGTGGACTCGCGTTCATTTGTAATGCCAATGCATTTGATTTGATCTAGATCGATGTCCAATTGTGACAACTTATAGGTGACCACCTCGATGCATTGCAAAACAGTCTCGTAGATTTGAACAGGGTCCTGCTCGATCCAGCCCTCCCGGGGCAGTATCTTATTCACCTCGAGCTGATAATATGTGATCATTTGACCACTTTGTGCCACAAACACCGAGAAGCGGACAAAATTAGTCGAGTGCTCCACAACACCGACCAACGGATCCATATTTTCAGACATTTATGCTTTTAATATGACTTAATATATCAATAATTGGTTTACAATATTATCGATACGATAGCATAAAACTCTTTAATAGTTGACTGAATGATAAAAACACTCTCTTTTCGTTTACTTTATATATAACTCTATCGACTGGACTCTTGTCTTATATAACACTTGTATTTATAATGAAGAAAATCAATTGAATTCACTCTTTGGACTAATCTTTAGAAACTTTGTTTATTTATATCTCTGTGAATATGTGGTAATGTTGTGCCAATCAATCACATAATACTTTAAACGTTGAATACATTTACGTTGAAGTCTATCGCAAAAATCAGTTCAAAATAGACAACATTTTGTTTTGAAAACTTATCAACGTCAAAACATAGACTGGTTATTACTGGTCAAAGTGTGTTTCACTGAATTATCATGATCGATTTCAT